TTTGGGTTCCATGGGCTATGCTGGTGAAGAAGCCCTGTTCATCAGCCGGCAGATTGTCGAGGAAGCCTATGAAGATTCTGAGCGATCCTTGAATTGGTATCGAAGCTACAATGCCTCCAGGTCCTCCGCCAAGAAATATTTCGATTCGGTTGTGGATCTTCCGATTCTGGGCGGCTTTGAACTTAGATTTTTAGGGTCTTTTAGCGTCTTCGGGGGAAGGAATTGCTACATATCCCGCTAAGAGTTGAATATTTATCAGGGCATCCTGCCGATCCAGGATTGAAGATTTTGCTTTTTGCAATGACTCGGTGACCATGTGGACCAATCCTCTTTTCATGAACGAGTATGCGAAGTGGAGTGGCGATTTGGACGGCTTGGAGCTAGTCACTGAAGGTTACCACGCCAAGTGTCATGCCTTTGGGCGCTTTTGGATTTCTCCTGCCTGCAGGCAGGATTGGATATTTTAGAGCTGACGCTCATCGTCGGCTCCGCCGGATTACTTGACCCTCGATGTCATCGCAGGGTGGGCTTGAAAGCTATTGAATGAGGACCTGCTGCTCCAAAAATATATTCCTTATGTTTTTTTGAACATATTCATGGATGTGTAAAAGCTTCTGTGTGAAAAAGCTTCCGTGTGTAAAAGCTTGTCTGTGTAAAGACTCCTCTGTGTAAAAACTTCTGTGTGAAAAAGTTTCTGCATGTAAAAGCTCTCTGTGTAAAGACTTCTTTGCGTAAAAGTTTCTGTCTGTAAACGCATCTGTGTGTTAAAGCTCTCTGTGTAAAGACTTCTTTGTGTAACAGCGTCTGTGTGTAACAGCTTCTGTGTGTAAACGCCCTTGTGTGTAAAAGCTCTGGTGTAAAGGCTTCTCTGTGTAAACGCTTCTGTGTGCAAACACGTCTGTGTGTGTGTAAAAGCTCTCTGTGTAATCACTTCTCTGTGTAAAAGCTTCTGTGTGTAAAAGCTCCTCTGTGTAAGCGCGTTTGTGTGCAAAATCTCCTTAGTGTAAAGACTTCTCTGTGTAAAAGCTTCCGTGCGTAAAAACTCCTCTGTGTAAAGATTTCTCTCTGTGTAAAAGCTTCTGCGTGTAAAGCCAGTCTGTAAAGACTTCTCTGTGCAAAAGCTTCTGTGCGTAAAAACTTTGTGTGTAAACGCGTTTGTGTAAGAGCTCCTCACCAGCAGCATTCATCATCATATTTTCTTGTGTGCTATCTTCCCGTCTCCTCCCTCCAGCTTTCTTTCGGGCCACACTGTCGTCTAGTTACAATCTGTAACGTTGCTTGTTGAAGAATGCCAAGAACATGTGAAAGCATCACCCGTTTAAAAATTGAACATAAACAAGCGCACAAAGTGCTGTAATTTACAGCATTTTGCGCTGTCAGACGAGAACCCGCGTAAATACCACAGTTTTAGTCCCCGAAACTGGATAAAACACTCTTATTTACAGGGGTTCGCTCACGTCACGATTTTCGTTTTTTTGAAAAACGCGTCAAATACCAGCGTTTTTTGTATTCATCAAGGCAAAAAATCGGTTCAAAAAGTGCAAAGCATGCTGTAATTTACAAGGGTTTGGTACTGTCACGTGTAAAAAACTGCGTAAATACCAGCGTTTCAGCGTCCAAAAGTGCTAAAACACCGCTATTTACGGTGTGTCGTGCCTTCCACGTTTTCTTGTCATTCCAAAAACTGTGTAAATACCACATATACCAACATATTTTGCGATCAACCTGCCAAAAATATTATAATTTACAATGTTTTTCCTTTGCCTTCAAAAACACTGGTATTTGCAGTGTGTTGTGCATCTTTGGTCTAAAAAGTATGGGTATTTATAGCATTTTCTGCGCTTTTGCATTGTTCCCACAAAAGACGTTAAAATGCAAAAATGTTGTAATTTTTAGCATTTGGTTAGGTTCGAAAAGCTAAAGATCGTCCGAAAAATGTGTCAAAACGGCGCTTTTTCCGATTTTAGGTACCCTCAAAACCGGGGGGGGGGGAATGCTCTTGGAGATGCTTATGAGCGACCCGGATTCCGTCCAAAAAGCTCTTCCCCAGCAGAGTGAAGGATTTTTTGTTTATTTTTGAGGCCCGGGGTCGGAGGGTCGGCGGCTTGGGGCGGGCCTACCGGTGCCCGGCTGTCAGGCGTAAGCCTTTAAATTCGGCTCCGCCGGCTCTCCACAGTGGCTTGCCCCACGAGCGTCCCAGAGCGACTAGAGCTCTATGGCCAAGCCATCTTGGCACCATGTTGGCCTATGTTGGCCCATGTTGAGCCAGCTCGGGAGCTATGTTGGGCCATGTTTGGGCCATCTATGTTGAAACGATCTTAAGATGCCAATTTTTCCGCCCGGGCCCTCTCCTGGAGCCCAAAACGACGTAAAAACCGAGGTTTTGTAACATCGCCAAGATGAAATCCCTTGCCGCTGAAGGGCCCGAAACACCGTAAAGAACGATGCTTTTTAACACCGCAAGCAAAAAGGCTTCAGTCGACCGGGAGTGGGATGGGGGTGGTTCGGAGGTGGGTCGGCGGCAGGGGCGGCAGCGCCTATGGTTACCACACCGAAGGCCTCCGGCAAGGACACGGGCTCCGTGGCCGTGGCCGTGGCCGTGGCCGTGGCCGTGGTTGTGGTTGTGGTTGTTGTTGTTGTTGTTGTTGTTGTTGTGGTGGTTGTTGTCGTTGTTGTCGTTGTCGTCGTTGTCGTTGTCGTCGTCGTTGTCGTTGTCGTTGTCGTTGTCGTTGTCGTTGTCGTGGTCGTGGTCGTGGTCGCGGTCGCGGTCGCGGTCGCGGTCGCGGTCGCGGTCGCCGTCGTCGTCGTCGTCGTCGTGGTGGTTGTTGTTGTTGTTGTTCTTGCTCTTTTTCCCTTGAGCACTCCCCCTTGCGTCTCTTGGGGTCGGCGGATATTGAGATATGGTTTCTTTTCGAATTGAAGCTTGGATAGTATATTAGTTTTCGCTCGAAAAACGTGCCAAGCTTTGAGACGAAGTCCCATGCGCTCTTTGGGTTCCCCGATGATTAATGGAATGAACCACAAGAGATGATTCAGATACGGAAAATCTGCGTTTCTGACAGACGTCGAATCCTTTTTTGTCAACTCAGAGGTGCGCCGACTAAGCGGATTTAAAGATGTAATCCACCACTGGCCATGGAGCGCCTTCCCTGTCAAGGCATAACATTTCCGAGTGTATTCCCATGCTGACCTACGGGTATGGCTGGTTGGCAGATGCCTTTATGGCGTGGAATCTTGGTGAAAATTGGACACTATGGAAAAATCGTTGGTCATCGCGGGATTGGAAGGTCGTGGCGGCCATTAGAACACTCGCAAGGCCAAACCAAGTAGACCCTCCAAGTACCCATAAAGATAGGGGAACACAATAAAGTAATGTGCCAAAATCATGGGTTTATCTTGAGGGCAAAACTAGCAACAAGCGGTTGCTGTCCAGCTTTGCAAAGACGTGCGTTGGCGCTGGGCTCTTCCCCATCTGCCCTCCCCACCCCTCTGTGGATCCCATGGTGAATGCGTGGGAAAACTAGCAACAACAGCAACAGAACCAAATACACTTGCGATGTGCCCTTTAAACGCATATAATCCCTGGGCCATGTCACTTTACCTTAAAAAAAAAGGCAACTTCACAATCAAAGAAGGTGTCATATGTATTAGCAAGAGAGGAACTTCCCAGTTGAAAGCGGGGTAACTGAGTATCAGACCCCTGAAATTGGATACTAACTTGTGCCATTGATGCCTTGGTTTATATTGTTTCAGAAAAATGTAAAAACGCTTGGCACAAAGTTGCGGCCTCGCCTGTTCCGCGTAACCTTCACCATGGTTCAGCATGGTTCACCAGGTCCACGGCCCATGCCATCCCAGCAGCCGTGGGCATCCAGGGCAAGACCCGGGCGACCACGGCCGCGTCGGCTGCCAATTTCTACTCCTTGGCTCGGACCTTTCGAGCCCTGGCCAAGGTGGTACCATAGCATCACGAAAAAAGGGGTATTATATAGATGGTATTGGCAAATAGTAGCAATAATACACCCGCCGGTTGGGGATGATAGTTCCCACGTGTTGCGATCCATTTATGCTGATATTGGGGATCGTATGGGATTGCTGATTAGTGTTTTTCCACATTGAGTTGGTATTGCGGCATTAGAAACAAGTCAAACCACATACTGTACTCGCCTTTCTGGCATGAATTTGCAGCAAATGTTTCTTTCCAAATTCCCCAAAGCTTGCATTTTTTTTTCGTGGTTTCATAAATCCGATTGTTTGGGTGGTGAACACCTACCTTTTTAACGATCAAGTAGAGAGGAATTTGGGAATTGCCATTGTTTTATACTGGGATTTTGTGTTGCTTTTTCCCCAAGCAGCGTGTCCACACTAAGGGGTTCTTACGGTAAGAGTTAAGGCCGGTGCTTGCTCAGGGTGCTCCATCTGGTTTCTCACATTTTTCCCGACAATTCTCACATAAGATTGCTCTTGTGCGATGTCCATGCGCATCTCGAGCGCGCAGGTCGCACAAAGTCTGCGCAAAAAGGCTTTTGTGCCATTTCGATTGCGCAGGCTCGCACCAAACGGTTTTCCTGGTCTTGGGGCGGGACATTTTTCCTGCAAATTCTTGCGCGCAATTATTCTGACTTGTGCCATCTCCATGTGCATTTCGATTGCGCAGGCTTGCACAGAACGGTTGCGCAGGTCTTTGGGCATGACATTTTTCTTGTAAAGTCTCGGATAAAACTGCTTTTGGCTTTTGCCAGATGTCCATCTGCATTTTGACTTCGCCGGCTTGCACGCAACGGCTGTGCCGGTGCTGGGGTTTGTTTTTTTGCCCTGTGAATTTTCGCATAAAATGCCTGTTGTGAGATGTTGTGAGATGCTCCTGTGCATTTCGATTTTCCACTCCTTCAGTTTGTTTAGTTCATCCTTTTCATTATTCCTGAAACGTGTCCACACTGAAGGGTTCTTACGGAAGGTGTTAAGGCCGGTGCTTGATCAGGGTGCGGTGCTCCATCTGGCTTCCGGCATTCTTCCCTTCAATTCTCACATAAGATTGCTCTTGTGACATCTCCATGTGCATGTCGAAAGCGCAGGCGCTCACAAAACCGTTGTCCCGCTCGTCGTCCCTACTATCACGATCTTGCCAGGAGTTTGATGCTGCTCTCTTGGAGGTTCCAGTGATATAATTATGAAGATCTTGACCGAGGTCTTGTGGAGATCCTTGTGAGAAGATGTTGTGAATATCCTGATGTATTCTTTTTATTGGATTCTTTTTATAGGGCAGGTCCTTTGCATGATCTTGTACAGGTCCTTATGAGAAGATCTTGTGAAGATATGACTGACATCCTCTACTGTAAGAGGGGCCCTTGCATGATCTTGCACAGGTCCTTATAAGAAGATCTTGTGGAGGTTATCCTGAAATTCGTCTCTAAGAGGCCCTTGCATGATCCTGTACAGGTCCTTGTCAGAAGATCTTGTGGAGATCCTAGTGACATGCAGCATGATCGTGTACAGGTCCCTGTGAGATCTCGTACAGGTCCTTGTGTGAAGATCCTTGCATTAAGATCTTGAAGATCCTTTGCGTTGTGTTTGTATGGAAGTTCTTCTGGAATGCTCATAATAAAGTGAAGTTTTTCCCGAGAGCGTCTGAGCGAAGGGTTCTTCTAATAGTGGGGGTCTGTCAAACATGTTCATCCTCTCATCTTCTCATCCTCACATCCTCACATCTTCACATCCTCACATTGCCTCACATCTTCACATCTGCTCATCTTCACATCTGCTCATCTTCACCTTCACATCTTATCATCTTCACATCTTCTGCTCATCTTCACATCTTCTCATCCTCACATCTTCTCATCTTCACATCTTCTGCTCATCTTCACATCTTCTCATCTTCACATCCTCACATCTTCACATCTTTTCATCTTCTCATCTTCACATCTTCTCATCTTCTCATCTTCACATCTTCTCATCTTCACATCTTCTCATCTTCTCATCTTCACATCTTCATCACATTCTCTCTTGCCCTCTTGCTCTCTTGCCCTCTGGCTCTCTTGCCCTCTGGCTCTCTTGCCCTCTTGCTCTCTCCTTCTTTTCGATTTTTCTCTTAAGGCGCGGGCAACGAGACGGCACGAAACGCAACCCCTTCGCACGAAATGAAGCTCGATCGTCAAAAACTGAGGTAAAATTGTGATTTTGAAACGTCCCGCGCAACTCTTTCGCACGAAATGAGGTTCGATCGTCAAAAACTGCGATAAAATTGCGATTTGCGCGTCCCGCGCAACTCTTTCGCGTTCGATCGCCAAAAACTGAGGTAAAATTGCGGTGTTGTGAAGCGTCCCGCGCAACCTCTTTCGCACGAAATGACGTTCAATCGCGAAAAATTGAAGTAAATTTCCGATCTTGAAGCGTCCCGCGCAACTCTTTCGCACGAAATGAGGTTCGATCGCCAAAAACTGAGGTAAAATTGCGATATCCCTTCTACCTTAATGAAATTATTTCAGGGGGTGGTTACCCTCCAAAAATAGTTTTTTCAAAATAATTTCAAAAATCTAACATGTTGGATGTATAGTCTTGATGGGTTACTCCCCCATCAAAGTAATTTTGACGTAAACACTGTGACAGGGAAAAAAACTATTTCGAAATAATTTTGGTTTTCTATGATATTGTTTACGATGGCGTGGCCCGAGAAGTGCGATTGCACCACAACTCACAACAGAAGTCGCAGTGTGAAATGGGACTAAGGGGGGTTACTCACAGCAGAATTGAAGAGAATCACAGAGAGAGATCATCAGGAAATCCTGCGCAATGTTGGACTTGCAAAAGTGGCTTACTATTTTAGGTTGCTTTTTGTTTTTTAGGATTGATGCGTTGTGAATCCTACAACGCAAATAAATTCAACATCATGTTTCCTGTGTGCTCCCTGCTAGTCATATCAGAATCTCCCCTCAATTTTTTGTTGCAGCAAGACCGCATCAAAACTTGCAACTCGAAACCAAACTCGTTCTTCAAGAAATTATTCCAAGGATATTGGCGATGCCTTGCATTCCTCAAAAAAAAAGTGGGCAGCTGCCAGAACCATCCAACTCGCCCAGAAACTGGGAAAATTGAAAAACCTATCAAAACCGAACGTTTTGAGGGAAATGAAGGGAATATGGGAGAAATCAGAGGAAATATGAAAGGTTAGGAAAATCACTACAGGAGAGAGCCAGCTTGAATACTATTTCCTGGGATTTCCCAAAAGGGAGAAATTATTCTAGGGGTATTGGAGATACCCTGCATTTCTCAAAAACCAAAGTGAGCAGCTCCCAGAACCACCCAACTCGCTCAGAAACTGCAAAAATTGAAAAACCGAGCACTAGAAAGATGTTTTACTGTCATCATGTCTATAACCAAGTTTGCTTTTTAAATGAATTTATGCTCTATTTATCTATTGATCAGAAAAAGTGCTAGCTAAAATTATTAAGTAGTATACAACTCTAGTTTTATATTGTGTGGGTGAAATATATAAACAATCAAATATATAATAGAATATGAGATCAAAACGAAACGTTTTGAGGGAAATGAAGGGAATATGGGAGAATAGAGGAAGGAAATATGAAATGGGTAGGAAAATCACTACAGGAAAGGACACAGGTTGAATACTATTTCCTTGGATTTCCCAAGGGGAGAAATTATTCTAGGGGTACTGGAGATACCCTGCATTTCTCAAAAATCAAAGTGAGCAGCTGCCAGCTGAAAAAAAAGAATCTATAAACACCGAACGCTTCCCAAAAAAGAGTTCTTTGGAGAGAAATGAAGGGAATATGGGAGAAATAATAGGACATATCCAAAGTTAGGAAAATCACTACAGGGGAGAGCCAGCTTGAATACTATTTCCTGGGATTTCCCAAAAGGGAGAAATTATTCTAGGGGTCTTGGAGATGTCCTGCACTCCTCAAAAATAAAAGTGGGCAGCTGCCAGAACCATCCAACTCGCCCAGAAACTTGGAAAATTGAAAAACCTATCAAAACCGAACGCTTCCCAAAAAAGAGTTCTTTGGAGGGAAATGAAGGGAATATGGGAGAAATAGGGGGAAAAACATGACAGGCGGGGAAACCCATTATATCAACGAGCTAAGTTGAATACCATTCCGTGCGATTTCCCAAGAGGAGAAATTATTCTGGGGTATCGGAGATGTCCTGCACTCCTCAAAAATAAAAGTGGGCAGCTGCCAGAACCATCCAACTCGCCCAGAAACTGGGAAAATTGAAAAACCTATCAAGACCGAACGCTTCCCAAAAAAGAGTTCTTTGGAGGGAAATGAAGGGAATATGGGAGAAATAGTGGGAAAAACATGACAGGCGGGAAAAACCATTATATCAACGAGCGAAGTTGAATACCATTCCGTGCGATTTCCCAAGAGGAGAAATTATTCTAGGGGTATCGGAGATGTCCTGCACTCCTCAAAAATAAAAGTGGGCAGCTGCCAGAACCATCCAACTCGCCCAGAAACTGGGGAAATTGAAAAGCCTATCAAAACCGAACGCTTCCCAAAAAAGAGTTCTTTGGAGAGAAATGAAGGGAATATGGGAGAAATAATAGGACATATCCAAAGTTAGGAAAATCACTACAGGAGAGAGCCAGCTTGAATACTATTTCCTGGGATTTCCCAAGGGGAGCAATTATTCTAGGGGTATTGAGATGTCCTGCACTCCTCAAAAATAAAAGTGGGCAGCTGCCAGAACCATCCAACTCGCCCAGAAACTGGGAAAATTGAAAAACCTATCAAAACCGAACGTTTTGAGGGAAATGAAGGGAATATGGGAGAAATCAGAGGAAATATGAAAGGATATGAAAGGTTAGGAAAATCACTACAGGAGAGAGCCAGGTTGAATACTATTTCCTGGGATTTCCCAAAAGGGAGAAATTATTCTAGGGGTATTGGAGATACCCTGCATTTCTCAAAAACCAAAGT